CTGCCCACCGTGAGTCTTATTGTTAACTAGCTTCATCCGCATTACATTATGATTTATTTCATTGTTTGTCAAATGACATGACATGACACACCTTACCAATCTTTCTTTCTTGATGTTGGCAGAAAGTTATGGTCTCTTTCCCACATTAGGGTCTTTATCCAAAATATTTACCCCCTCAGTTTAATGGCGTGCAATATATAGGCTTAAGCAAGACGTAAGTGTAGAGCTTTTTATTAAAAAAGTAATTATTCACAAATATGCTGTGATTGTTGACGTCCTACTCCACAAAGTAGTGTGTGTTTACGCTTTATTATATTAGTATAAACTAACATTCGCCCGCGACTCCTTCCGCGTGGGAAAAAAACAACAAAATTTCAACGAAGTCCGTTCAGCTGTTTATATTAGTAAGAAAACTATAGTCCATAGAGTATTTTTTTGTAATTTCAGAGATGTTCATCATTAGAGCGACCGTCTCTGCCCGCCAAGACAGTGAATGCCAACACTGGACAGCAGGAAATAAAACCAATCAAACCATCCTCTCTGCCGCCACATCTCACTAAAGGTACATTTATGTTTAAAGTCTGTTTCCACTGCTTACTGAAATCTTTGACTAAGCATATTTCGTAAGAATAACAGCAGAATCTAATGTTAAATGCCTACATGAAGTATCAGTTTTTTAAATTGTGTGTGTAATTAAAAAAATCAATATGAGTAGCCTATGTGTTCTTCCAGACTATCCTCTACATCTATATTAAATTTTATCGAGATCTGTTTAGCCGTTTAGGCTGCAAACTCTAAGATCCATCCATCCATCTAAACTTTCATATCTCAATAATATTATAAATGCGAAAGATTACATGGATGGATGTTTGTTAGAGTTTGTAGCCTAAATTGCTGAACAGATTTCGATGAAATTTGGCATATATGTAGAGGAGAGTCTGGAAAAACACATAGGGTACTTAATGTCGTTTTTTTTAATTCCACGCGGACGGAGTCGCGGGCGAAAACTAGTTTATAATATTAGTAAGATTGTTTACTTTTATGAAATGTCAATAGCAAATGTCGTTTTTTTTTTCGAATACTTATTCCCTAATTTTAATAGAGTGAAAATATATAGCCTATAGCGTATTGTAAGTGTAGGTATTTATATTTTAAAAAGAAACATTCTAAAACATGCTTTGATTGCTGATATTCTTAGTAACAAAGTGTGTTTACGTTTTATTATATTAGTATAGATATATTTACCTTATAGATTTAGACTATGTCTAATCACTATATTGCAGAAATGCCGCAAGCTTTATACGTGAATATGTCTGAGTTGGCAACACTGGCAGCTACGCGAGCACAACAACAACAGCAACAACAACAACAACAACAACAGCAACAGCAACAACAAGGCTCTGAGTTCCCGCAACAGGAAAAGGTGAGTTACTAAAACTAAGTTACTGAATGTTACTAAAGGATCGTATAACTGTTATATGTTAGTAAAGGTTACTATAACTGTTATATGTTACTAAAGGTTACTATAACTGTTATATGTTACTAAAGGATCCTATAACTGTTATATGTTACTAAAGGTTACTATAACTGTTATTATATGTTACTAAAGGATCGTATAACTGTTATATGTTAGTAAAGGTTACTATAACTGTTATATGTTACTAAAGGATACTATAACTGTTATATGTTACTAAAGGATCCTATAACTGTTATATGTTACT